TTGGTCCTTCTAAGGCACACATAACATCTTCCGGTCTTCTTAAGAACATCTCTTCGGGCTTGTGCATTAGAAACGGTCTCACAGCTATTACATGAATGAGGTTGCTTGCAATTGGTACAAGTTGGTTTGCTATCTGATTTAGAAAATAGTGATGAGACAGAGGGTGGGCCTCTCCAATGTTGCTTGTTCCTTCGGAATGGTGGGTCTGGCTGTGGATTGTGATTTTCCTGTGCAGCTCCCTCCCTTGCTTCCAATTCTTGATGCATAACTGCCAACAGCGGGTCTAATTCCCAGTCTCCCCCCTTGACCTCTCTGCTAATGATCAAACGTACTTCTTGTGGTACCTTGTTCATCAAAACAGATGAAAGCAAGCTATCATAGGATTCTGATGGTACTCCAAGAGCCTTAAGACCACGTACATGAACCTCCACTAAGTCATAGAACTGTCTCATGCCCCTTAGATCATGATTAGAATAAACAGGTGCCATGTTGATGAGGTCATCCGTGTGTTTGTTTACAATCATCTGTTTGTTGCCAAATCTGGTCTTCAAAATAGTAATGGCCTCTTCATAATTTGCATTCGTAATAGCAAGACCTGCAATTGCCTCAGAAGCGGTTTTCTCCAAGAGAGAGTTGAGATAATTAAACTTGTCAATAGTCGCTAGCTTAGAGCGAACACCACTTTGTAATATCTCCATTGAATCTCTTTACGACCAACTTTGAGGGCTTAATTTGGGAGCCTGCATCATGCACTTGACTTTGAGGTGAATCATTAGAAAGAATATTCACACGGCTTACCAACTGCGCGGACTCGTTCATCAGCTCCTTTGACGTGTGAGGGCTGGCTTCTATTTTTGGAGCAATGGCGGCCAGCGCTTCATCTAATCTGGCAAGAACTAATTCGACGTGAGTACAGAATTGGTCAGTTTCTTCAATTTCGCTGACAATTTCTTCCTCCATTGATAAATCGAGAATCTCCTTATCCAGTCCCTGGATAACGTCCAACTTTTCTTTTAGAGAGGACTTGTAAAGGATTAGAGTTGCTCATTGTTTTGAACCACTCGATGGGTCGTCGCTCAAAGAATTAAGAATTTCATTCGCACTCTCCAATTTCCTTTCGGTGGAATTTCGATGTCCAGTTCTGAAGGCTTTTTTCTTCGTAAGTTCCGAGGACGTTGAGGTTTCGTCGCTTGTAGACTCAACAGACATTTGTGATGTACTCTTCTTTCCATTCTTTTTCCTGCCGGCCATAGAGCAGTCGAGAGAAGAATTTCTCACCTTCAAAGGTTTTCAGGATTTCGGGATTTCCTCTAGTTCACTTCCGGCTCGAAGTGACCAATGTTGGAAAGTAGTTAAGATCCACTGGACGGCTCAATTTCAACCCTTTAATTCTCTTACAACTCGGGACTGTACTAACAGCAACGCAAACACAAGCAAGGATCGATTTCAAGACAGAAGCACAAGGTCTCACATAGTCCATAAGGCTTAGCGGGCATAAATATGTCACGTCCGGTCACGCTAACAAATGTCACGCTCACCAGAGTTCTAACACCAATGTTCAAAACCACAAACAATCCTTGATCCTCGGAAGTGGATAAGAGTCTTTAACAGTGACCCCATTCACCTTTCAGTAATCAATGCAAAAGCGTATCGTTCCATCTTTCTTTTTCACAAGGACCACAAGAGAAGACCATGGACTCAGCTCAATTATGCCTTTGGCCAATATTTTCTCTACCTCTTCCTCTGCCTTTTCTTTCAAGTGTAAGGGAAGTCTCCTCGGTGCTTGCTTGATAGGTTTGGACTCCCCTGTGACAATCCCATGCTGGGTTATGCTGGTGTGGCCGAAAGGGTTTGTAGAGGTGGCAAACATATCTTGATATTCATTGAGTAAGTCAGTCAACACTCCAATTTGTTCATCGTTCAAGCCATCTGTACTTCTATTTAGCAATTCCTCCAGCTTTAAGTGTAGAGATCTCTGCTGATCTTGGTGTTCACATTCCTTTGGTTAAGACTCTCCAGCAAGTCGTTCATCCGTCTCTGCCTCCTGAGAGTGCCTTATCCACGGTTCTCCATCTACCTGATTTCCATCTACTGGTTCGCAAAGTGCTGCCAGAGTGTCTTTCTAGACCCACCTTGGATATGACGTGGGGTTGAGAAGACGAATAGCAATTGGGCCATCCATTTTGACAAGCGATCTACCTACCAAAAGTTTGCTGTGCTGAACAAAATCCAGTGTGGGTTCCAGAGTTGCCAAACCTCCATCACATCTGTCTAGAACCTTTGCAGCCGTTATCATCTCACTATTTGCCGAGACTAACGCTGTATCCTCGACTATCACCCTTAAATATTGATAATTGCTGAGCACCCTGTTTCTCTCCACTTGCGCTTGCACTAGTCAACTCGGGATTAATAGTTCCAGCTGATCCTCAGGAGCTGCAGTGATCTAACAACCATACCGGCACACAAAATCTCTTCCAGCTCTATGTCTGCAATCCACACCTGCAGAGCCTGCTTGCCTTCTTCTCTCATTTCAAATGTCCCCTTACCAGGAAACAGTTTTGCACTGCCATCTGCTAAGATCATACAGTTCTCAACTTTCTCAAGCACTGGTCGCCTAGGTGCACTGATCTTCTCCATTACTTCTGGGCTCAACATCATTGTGTTCGAACCCGTATCTACCAGAAACTTGAAACTTGACGTCCACTCCCTCTACCTTACTGGAGATGCACAGTTCTCGCTGATCTTCGTTTCCACGCAGAGTACCAGCCCTTAGATACAGGCGCCATAAAGAACGACACGGGACTGAACTTAGCCCCTTTAGTTCGCTCTGCTATCATTTCCCTGGTTGTAACAGAAATTTGGGCAATTGCGCGAAAAATGCCCTGGCTTGCCTCAGTTCCAGCCATTCCCTTTACTGACATTTCTTGGACCTCTCGAGCTAATGTGCTCCATTCCAGGCAGGAAGCTCCGGGCAGGACATTCAATTTTCTTCATTAAATCCTCCATTAGGCGCCTCTGCTCTTCTCGATTTTTCTTCATTTTGGACAATATTTTGCTGATGGATGAATCAAGGGTATCACATCATTTCTCTGAAAGTTGTATGCCCACCATATTCGCAGTCTGTTGGCCTGGTCTGAGATTTTAACGTTCAGATATCTGAAATGCCTCCACTTTGGTGGCCATGGCGAGGGCTTATTGTATTGTTCCAGGTCTAGTTTGAAGTATTTTCCAGTGGATATCCATATCTGCAATTGCACGGACAAAGTAGTCCTTTTCTAGTACGTCCCGAACAGATAGGGGTGCTTCCGGGTATGCTTGTCTTACGAGTCGCTGGATCTCCTGTGCAAGCCCTGGAAGTGACTCATCTTTTCCTCTGGCGCAGCTTTTCAGTTGTGATCCAAACACTTCCATCTTTCCACCGTACCAAACTGCAGTGACAACATTTCCCTGAGGACCTGATAGTTTGTCCTCGAGTTTGTGTCCAAATCAGTCAGCACGGCCTGTGTACACCCTGACAAACTCAGGACGAGGTAAATGGCCATTGTAGACGTATTCCAGCCATTTAATTCTGCAATCGGTTCGAATTGAATTTGATACTCATCCAAATACATCTTTCTATCGTACGGCAAAGATGTAGTTAGTGGTTTTGCCAAGAGAGGGCGGTTTCTTGTTCCTACAGCCAATTTTCGGTTCTCGAGCATATCCTGGAAGAACGTCCGGTTGTCAACCATGTCTTCGAGTTTGCCGCCAGACCCCGTGCGGGCCGCACATTCCATTCCACATGGAATTCTCCACAATAATTATCATCTGCATTCAACTGAACTTTGCAATAAAATAAAATATATTTTTAACTTTTAAACAACAGCAACTTCCACATAAAAAGCTTCATAGCAACCAGTATGCCGCTACAAGTCAAAATATCCCGTCGTGCAGCCTTACTACACCACCACACAACAGCCGTTTGCAGGACAGTTATCTACACCACAAAAAACCATCTGACCTGAACTTCAGCTGACTTTGGTTATGATTCATCCCACTTCTGAGACCAAATGTAACGCGTGCTGGCGACAACAACTTCCACTCTAAGAGTCCAACAGCCAACGGTTTAATCACTCGACTCTTAACATTCAGCTTACTTGTACACGGGAAGTCTACTCACACACACAGGCCACTACATAACGTGAGTCCCTTATATATCCTGTATTACGAGTATATTGCGCATTCAGTAGTGGCCATGTAACCATCTCTTAATCTTAGATCTTGTGCGAGCATCACGTTCAAATAAATAACCGTTGGACATCTTAGTACGCACACCTTTGCTCGTGCAATCACTATATCAGTTTCATTACACTTAGATGCAGTGGTGATCATATCCGCCAAAAGATGATCGCAGATTCATGGTATTCGGCCATTGAGTACGTTGACATTTGGCGATGTAGTCTACATTGGACGTTGTGTAAACAGAAGCAAACTTAAAGTGCACCTAACCCCCAAACTTTTTTCCCGCTAAAACGAATCCACTTGTTATTTGAAGCATTTGGGCGAAAAAAGTTTTGAATTTGGTTGAATCCTCGATTTTATATGCCCTTTCAAAGTCGCGCCTGAAGTGTTACACGACCGCGTTTCGGGGAGTCTGGGGCGGCGGTTGCTGATGACGTCTACCCAGGAACCAAACACAATGGCGCCTTAGTCAGCTCTCTGTATTTGCTCGAGAAAGTGGAAAACGAAACTAATCGTTCCAATATATTTTGGGACTAAAACGTCTAAGTTTTGTTTCAGAATCATTTTTTTTTTTCGTCACTGGAGTCAGAGTTAGGTTTCGATTCGGAAGACACCGAAATAAACTTCGATCGAGCACGTTCGACAACTGTGAACTCAGGCCCAGTTCAGACGTCGTGCTTCTGTCGTGCCGAACTAAATTGCAATTAGGTTTGACTGTAGCACGGCTGGAAAACAACTCTGATTCAGACGTCNTTGGAAAGTAACAGTTGGCGTTTTAAATCTGCAACGACCTCTGCCAAATCTTCATTTTGATGCTCGTTTTCAATTTTTACTTTGCTGGTTTTCAGTGGATCACCTCTTTTCTCTGAGGATGCAACTGAGTATGTGATTGTCGATTTCGCCTCTCTTCTTTCGCATCGCTTTTCCCTTTCGATCTCATGACTTGACACTTTGGTCCACTGAAACCGTGAAGGAGTAGCAGTTGGCAAAAGATCTTTCCTTTTCCCAGTTAAACTGCGCTTGCAGTCTGTCGAAACAAAATGTTCAGAGCAGCAAAACAGAGACGTGTTCGATTTAAACTTACTGTCAGATCGTTTCATTTTCACTGCCCATTCCATCCTAAGTTGAGAATCTTTCGGAAATGTCTGGAACGTGAGGTCTTTTCTGTTATCCGACCCATTAGTACATAGTGCTGCGGCAAAACATTTATGCGAGGTCTTTTGTTCAGCACTATTTGATCTTACACTTTCTGACATAGCATCCGCCATAATTACTCGCGCCAACTGGAGGGCCCTTAGGCCTCGCTTTCATATAACTTCCGGCTTATGGCGTAACTGTGTATGGCAAATGGTGGCCTTTTTCCTCCCCCAGATGATATTGCTATTACACAGAGAGAGTGTCGTCCCTGGAAAAACAAAACAGGAATTCTGAGAATAGGGAAGGAACAGGGTGTTTATTTTCATGTAAATTTAGCTTTTGTCAGAAAGGGAAACAGTGCTCATAGCGCTAGTTTTAACGGTTCCCAATTACAAATCAATCCCATTGTCAGGGAACGCCTGACCAATGCGCACAAAGATTTTCTGTATCACCAGCTGAACATTTCGGTAGAAAATTATTATTCAGTGTATTCCATGTCTGTATGGTGAAATAAGCTAAATCATTGATAACATGGAGGAGGGGGACATGGGGATTTGCGGTGTTGCGGTGTTGATGTTTTTTTAATGCGGTGATGCGGTGAATAAAACCTCAACTTGCGGTGTTGCGGTGATCTCAAACCCTGCGGTTTGCGATGTTTGTGTTTTTCACGCTGCGGTGTTCGGTGAAGTGAAATTGTTTGCGGTGCTGGGGTTTTTTGATTTACCATTCTCAAACCTAAATTTGACCTGAATTTAGCATGTAAACTTCGTTAATCCATGCTAATTAATGACAAACACGTACCATTGAGGTTAATAATTTGTAACAAAATACAGACCGTCACTTCCTAGTCAATCATCAATATGCTTCGGTTGCCAATCCGAAGCTGTTTTTATTTATACGTAATTTGACAAGTAACTCGACCTCTGCCACCCGGAGCTCAGTGTTCGGTAGACACGTGGAGGAGCGAGGACAGAAACAATCCTGGAAATTCTGGAAACGCCAAGCCCGAATATAATGTATTATTGACTGCGCAGCTTTTTTCTACGCAAAAAAGGAAGAAGTGGCGAAAACTACCGGCAACAAAATATATTCAGATGTCGCGTCGGCAGGTGAGAGAGAAGGCTTTCTAAGGTAAGGACGCTTTGTAAATTATACACGTTTACTATTTTTTTTTCCTTTTGCTATTCGGCTTCGCCTAGAGGTCATTCTGATACAGGTCTATACCCACTCCCAGGTCCTGCGACTTTCTTGACCTTCTATTTTTTCAAACGATCATCGATATCGAACGCAAACGCAGCTAACTCTGGAAAGCAATACTTCCAGTCGAGATAGGGTTTCCGTCTGTGAGTTTATACACCAAGAAAAGTGAGCGAAGTACATGTAAAAGAAGAGAGGGATCTGGGGTAAAGGCCTGATCTCTCGAGGCTCCTCTCTTTTTTCTTCGTCCGCTTCCTAGCTTCCCGCAAGGTTTATTCACAAGAGCAAGAAAACTGATTTACAGGCATCAGCAGTATCGACACATGCGCAATGAAAAGCGTTGTGATGTGTTTATTTTGTGGAAAATTGTTGAGGTGTAAAAGTATTGTTTTAAGTGTAGATGAACGAATCATGGCGCCAAAAATACGAGTTGCGGTGACGGTGTTTCGCTGACTTTTCTTGCGGTGGTGCGGTGTTTGTTAATTTTTTTTGCGGTGTTGCGGTGTTCAGAACCCCCCATGTCCCCCTCATAGAGACATTACCTGAAAATAACACACAAGGAATAATTGCAGTTAGGTCTCCGGCACAAGCTATTTGTTCGCATTCACTTGGGGTCCTCTTGATATCTTTTGAACCTGTCAAGGTAAACCACTGGCAATAAAGCCCCCTTCCCACAACCAAATTACCCATCTTTTTTTGCCAGGTCTGATAATTCGTTTTCATAACTATACACTAATTGTGCATTTGTTATTTGCTATATTATCCACTGAGGTGAACAATGAGAGATTCCGGAATATTAGACGTTCAAGACATTCTATTACCTCTATATTGCTATATAGGCTGAATGATTATCATTTAGGTGCTGCGTGCTCCATCCGTGGCGTCCTATACAACAACGCCATCACCTTGGTCACAGCTCAAGATCAAACGTCAGTCACTAATAGTATATTTGTTGACATTTCTAAATATGGCAAGCTAGTGAAATGTTTGTTTCACTTGTTCTGAAATTTAACCTTCATGTTCAGTTTATGTTATATGTTGCAGGTAAGTTGTACGTTACGTTTTAAGCCACATTTAAACGGTATTAACTTTGGGTGTGGCAGTCACAGGTTTGGGCCGCGCACTTGGTATTTTAAAGGCGAAACACCTTTTATTTTCGTTTTGTCTTGAACGACACCCCTCTATACAATAAGAAAGGTAGTCTTTTTACGTAGTGGGTCCGGACCCTAGCTAGCTTTAAAGACACGGGACTACCTAGTCAAATGGTCCTTGCTCGGCCACCTAAAATTTAGGACCACTGTCGTTACTAATACGAAAGTGGTATAAATGTGGTTTTTGTTACATTTATCATTTCTATATCACATCACGTGACTTTTTCCTATTAATTCACGCATTGCCAACAGTGACTGATATTGGGAATCAAGCACGACGTTTCACGACGATTTCGTTACTTTGTCATTAAGTTCTTCATTAACTCTCTCTGAAAAGTAGGGAGAAAATGAAACTTTCACGACAAGGACTAAGCTACTGATTTTCGTTTACAAACGCCAGACGGCAAAAGTGGAATTTTTACCGTTGGCGGATAATGAATAACGTCATGCTTAATTTCTAGTTCTATTCACTCCGAATTAAGATTACAAATAGTGTTTAGGTAAATGGAGAGAACACAACATTCTTGGTAAAAAAATCAGGTTTAAGTTGAAAATTGGTATATGTTTTTACCTGGCATGCACAACTAATATTACTGATTAAATGTTGTTGTTTTAAAACTTTTGAGATTAGTACCCTGAAAAACATACATGGTGGTTTCAATTCAAGCAAGAATAAACAAATAACTTCTGTGCTGAGATCGTAGATTAATTACATTCGTAAACAAATAGTGCA